TTTTTTTCCTCCTGATTTTGCTTGCTTTTTTTTATGTGGGAGGTAAAATCCAGTCTCTTTTATTCCATCTTGGCCAGCAGTTTCAACCCTTTAGCTTTTAATCTTAATTATTATCTTGAAGGTATTTAAGATTTAATTGATTTATTCATTACATTTTTTTCTACTGAAGTTTTTAATTATTTTTAGTGAGGGAGATGTTGGAAGCCTAAATTAGAAAGTTATTTCTTACCTCCCTTTACACAGTTAAAGCACATCTGTATGGTGCCTCAAAATGCTTTTACTATTGTCACATCAGCCCATGGGAAAGGTGAGGCAGGTAGTTTTCCATTTTATAGGTGAGGAAATATCTGTTCAGAGTTAGTATGACTTTCTCAAATCACACAGCTAATAAGCTAGAGAACCAGGACTTGAACTTAGGATGACTGACACTTTCCATCCTACCAGGTTACATATGCCACGACAGTAAAAAAAAAACAACATAGCTCTTCTGCTCAAATAAATGTTAACACAGCCCTTTTTCTAAAGGGATGAAAAGCAGGCATGTAGTGGTTAAGGTAGATACGAGGAGACCATGAAGGCACTATTAGTGCTATCTTAATTCTGCTTCCCACATCATATACTGTGGCTGGGTTTTTTTCTTTCAAGTTATCTGTTAGCTGTCAGCAGTAAAGAGTAACATCTACTAAGAGGGGTTTTTCTTTTTTCTTGCACTTTTGAGGGATGGGTGAGAACATTGTCATTTTATAAATAAAAGAACATTAGCTTATGTTTTAGCCAGGGATCCCTGGAAAACAGAGCCTCAGACAAAAATTATAGGTGTTAACCTTTATTGGGGACAGGGTATGTATGAGTGAGTGTGTGTGTGTGTGTGTGTGTGTGTGTGTGTGTGTGTGTGTGTGTACAACCCCAGGGCTGTGTGACCAGAAAAAGGGAAGTGAGGCAAAGAAAGAAGGAAAGCAAACATAAGGTGGTGTATTTCTGCGCCAGACCCCAGCTTCACAAGAAGATAGAGCTGGTAGCTTGGTCTCCAGAAAAGCCAAATGAATGACTACCTCTCAGAACAGTCTGATAGAGAAGGAAGGAGGCGGCATTTTAACATACTGGCTCCTTCCAGTTTCCCGGTCCAGGTTTTCCCTAATGAGGAGCTAAATCCTCCCACCACTTCATGGTTGTGTGTTGCCTAGCCCCTGAGGCAGACACTGGGAAGCCAGACCCCATGCGCCAGGGGGCTGCACAACATCTGAATTTAGAACTGCTGAAAGGAGCCAAAGCCGCTGTAGGTCTAGTCTGGCTGGACCTGGCTGCCGCCTGTGCAGAGGCTCCCACCATGGTGGGGAAGCCCAGCCCTCAACCCTGAAGCGACTGGCCGGGCCATCAGCAACGGTGGTGGTGCCCTGGCCGGCAGGGCAGTGCGGGGTCGGGGTCTCCATTTAACAAGCAACAGAGGCCCGGTCCTATGCAACCAAATGATTCAGGGGAGGCTTGTAAATTGGGCTTAGAGAGTTTACAGCTCAACTAGAGCTTGATTTGAATTCCTGTTTCCCTCTGTAGCAGCTGTTTGAACTTGAGCCACTTATTTCCCCCTGTTTATAGCATCTATACAATGGGATTGCTGTGAGAACTAAAGAGATGGCATACTTCACACATCAGCACAGAGCTCGGCATGAATTGGAGTCCTTCTTTTTCTTCTCTCCTTGGGTCCTTGTGGCTGAGGGAGTACATCCTAGTAGAAATCTTTGATTGCTTCTGTACTTTAGACACACACACACACACACACACTCACACACTCACTTTTTTTTTTTAATTTTGCGATTGTGGAATAAGGAATACAAGAGACTTTGCGATTTCTAGCAGATATTCTATCCTCCAACTGATTTGAAGATACATGTTACGTTCTAGCATAGACTAAAGTACCCGATTGTCTAATCCAAAAGGCAACGTGCAAAAGGCAAAACATTCATGGAAACATTCAGCAAATATTTGCTGAATAACTACTATGTCCTCGGTAGACTCTCCAACTGACCACTCCTAAGCCTGTGGTCGATGAACATGAGCCCCAAGGAAGGAAGGCGGCATCCACACAGCCAACTCAACTCTGGGATTCTACAGATGCAGCGGAAGACCGTTTACTCCTGCATTAGGACGGAATTTAGCCCAGCTTTCCTTCATTTCTATAACAATCCATTTCCAAACTCCAGGACTCGCACGGCACTCTTCTCTCCAGTCTTTTAGCAAATAATGTGGCCTATAGACCTTGGAGAGCATCCTGGTTGAGTACTATCAGAACAACCGCCACTTAATAGGCAAAGATTTTTACAAAATGGTAACATTCAGTGTTGGAGAGGTTGTGTATAAGGTGAGTGGAGAACTGGCTTTTGAATCATCAAAAATTTTACTTACTTGTTTTTGTACAAACAATACACATCAATGGTTCTCAACCAGGAATAATTTTGTCCATACCCTCTCCCCCACCCCAACATCTGGCAAGGTCAGGAGGCATTTTTGGTTGTCACAACTGGCAGAGGGGAGGCTACTGGCCAAGGATGCTGCTAAATGTCCCACAGTGTACAGGACAGCCCTCTCACAACAAAGAATTATCCAGTCTAAAATGTCAGTAGCAAAGGGTACTATTTCCTTCTTCTTTATAGCTGAGTAATACTCCATTGTGTAAATGTACCAAAGTTTCTTAATCCAGTCATCTACCGATGGGCANCGCTCACTGCGGCTGCTGGCCGCTCACGCTGGCTGCTGGCTACACACGGTAGCCCATGGCAACCCACTGCCACAGGGGCTGCAGCCTACGCCGTCACTAGATTTTTTCAATTATAGTAATATAGGCTTTATGCTACATTGTGACTACCTGCTCATTTACATGAGTAATGGCTGGAAGAAAGTAACTATAAGAGCCAGATGTATAGCCTTTTTTTCTATTTTGTTTTATACATTTATTTTTAAACAGAAAGTATAAGCTCTGAGGACAGTATCATCCTCAAAACCTTACAGGAGTTTCTTGAGCTCCACCCTTACTGCAAAGCCCCAGACACTTGGCAGGTGATCAGGGCATATGGTTGCCCAAAGGACACAGCGACTTACCTGCCGCAGCCTCTTTGTTTGGAAATAACTTGCTGTCAACTGCCATGCTGATGTCATAGAACACCTCATCCTCGTCTCGGTCAGCATCAAACTGGGGGAAATCAGGACAGACAAGTTGGGAACGTGAGAACATATAAATTAGTTAATTACAAAATATAATGAACGTGCTTCACACAACTGTATCTCGAATGAAGCAGGACAAAGGAATTAAAGCCCTTGAGTCTTTAATCAGACACTTTGAGGGCTTTTTAGTCCAGACCTCCTATCAAGCAGGAAAGAGTATTAGGGAGTAAATGTACAGTCAATTATGATTAAGAAAAATGTGTAGAATTTTCTTAATTTATAAAATAGGCTTTGAAAAAAATGATAACTGAAATTTATGTTGTGCCTTTCTGGCTCTTAGTTGTTTTGTTTTGTTTTATTTTTTAAATACCCATGAAAACATGCAGTTTTAAACAACAGAAGGAAATATTTTCTAATATTGTTAAAATGAAGAGAAAAGAAAGAAGCCCCAAATTACATTTTAGTTACTATTCTAGATACTATAGATACCATATTATAGATGTAGTCCATAGACAATACAGATTTAGATGTAATAATAAAAACCACAGATTTAAGTATTTATTTTACCATTCTCTAAAATTTACAAAATTTTAAATATTAAAAAAATGTAGCTATATTTATAAATCTTGTTTCCCAAGCTGTACAGTAGTTTTCTTAAGGACACTTTTATCTCTTTAGTTTTTAAAAATAGCTTTACTGAGTTATAATCAATATACAACAAATTGCACATATTTAAAGTGTTCAAACTGCTAAGTTTTGACAAGTGTATACACCTGTGAAACCATCATAAAAATCAAAGTAGTGAACATATCCATCACCCCCAAAGTTTCCTTGTGTCCTTTGGGAATCCCTTCCTCCTGTCCCCTACCAGGTAATCATCGATCTGCTTTCTGTAACTATAGATTATTTTGCATCTTCTAGAATTTCATATAAAAGGATTTGTACAGCATGCAATCTTGTTTTTTTTCTTGGTTTGGATTATTTCTCTCAGCAGAGGTATTCTGAGATTCGTCAATATTGTATCTATAGTTCATTCCTTTTCATTGCTGAGTAGCATTCCATTGTATGGATATACTGTTAATCCCATCTTGTGTGGTTTTCATCTCTAGATGTTTGATTTGAGTCTTTAAAAAATATCTTTGTATCTATTTAAGGTTTGAACACCTGAAATATAATTATAAGTTTTAATGCCCTTCTCTGCTAATTCTAGCATCTGGTGTCAGTTCTGAGTCAGTTTTGATTGATTTTTTTTTCCATTATTAAGAGACATATTTTCCTGTTTCTTTGTGTGCCTAGTAATTTTTTATTGGGTGCCAGGCATTGTCATTTTGACTATGTTGGATGCTAGGTTTTTCTGTATTACAGTATAAGTATTATTGAGCTTTGCTCTGGAATACAGTTTAGTTACTTGGAAACAACTTGATCCTTTCAGGTCTTGATTTTAATATTTGTTGGGCTAGACCAGAACAGTATTTAGTTGAGGGCCAATTATTCCTCACTGTTGAGGCAAGACTTTTCTAAGTCTTCTGTATAGTGCTTTGTTAATTAAGAGGTTGTCCATTCTGGCTGGTAGACATAGGCACTATTCCATGTCTGGTGTGAGCACCAACTACTGTTCCCGCCAATTCTTTTGGGTCGTTTTCCCCAGAGTTTCAGGTAGTTCCCTCACACGAATGCACTGATTAGCACTCTGTTGAATAATGGAGGGGAATGCTCTGCAGATCCCTAGCATTCTCTGTCTATGCATGTCTTGCACACCTGCTACTCTATCCTCTGAACTCCAGCTACCTTGGTTTCTTGGATGCTCGCTGCTCCTTCTGCTCAACTAATGGTGTGCACCAGTCCTCACAAGACTTCCTTCTCCCTGCCCTGTGGTCTGGAAACTCCCCAGCAGTAAGTGGGGGCAACTGTAGGGCTCAGCACGTTTGTTTTCTTTATCTCAGGGAATCACCTCATTGCTTGATGTCCAGTATCTTGAAAATTACATACATATATATATATATATATATATATATATATATATATATTTTTTT